TTGATACTACTTGGGCATCACTTACCGTGTACACTGGCGGTATGGTGCGATATGTGCGGGTATACAGGGTGTAATACTTGTTGTAAATTGGTGCAACAGGGGCCGCGGCGTGATACTTGGTGTACGATATTCACTTTTGCTGTTCCTAAAATCTTGACTGATATTTCACCGTTGGATTTACATGGGTATACTTGGTGTATTCATGGCGTATGCGTCGATATGTAGGGGGTATACAGGGTGTATACTTTTGTAATTGGTGCACAGGGCGTATTACTGTGGTGATAGGGCGATAACTTGTGTCAAATCCTGACAGATATTTCACCGTTGATACCCATTGGTAATACTTGGTGTTCATCGGCTATGGTCGATATGTAAGGGGTTATACAGGGTGTATACTTGTTGTACTTTGGTGCGCACTAGGAGGCGTAATACCTTGGTGTAACGATAACTTGGTGTCTAAAATCTGAACGATATTTACTTCACGCGTTCGATACATTGGGTAATACTTGGTGTACGATGAGCGTATGGTCGATTATTCTGTAGGCGGGTATACAGGGTGTAAATACGTTGGTGTAAATTGGTTCGGTGCACCACGGCGTATAACTTGGTGTATCGATACCTTGGTGTCTAAATCTGACGATATTTCACCGTTATACAATTGGGTATACTTGGTGTAGGCATGGCGTATGTCGATATGTCGGGTATACAGGGTGTAATACTTGTTTGTAATTGAGTGCAGCAGGGTCCGTATACTTGGTGTAGCGATACTTGGTGTCTAAATCTTGACAGCATATTTCACCAACCGTTGATACATTGGGTATACTTGGTGTACATGGCAGTATGGTCGATATGTAGGGGGTATTACCAGGGTGTATACTTGTTTGTAATTGGTGAGCACAGCGTATACTTGTGTACGATACTTGGTGTGCTAAAATCTGACGATATTTTCCCGCTTGATACATTGGGTATACTTGGTGTAACATGGCGTATGGTGATATGTAGGGTAACAGGGGTGTATAAGCTTGTTGTAATTGCGTGGGCACAGGCGTAATTACTTCGGTGTACGATATCTTGTTGTCAAATCTGACGTATTTCACCGTTGATACATTGGGTATACACTTGGTGGTACAATGGCGTATGTGTCTGATCATGTAGCGGGTATTGTAGGGTGTATACTTGTTCGTACGATTTGTGCACAGGGCGTATACTTGGTGACTCACGATCACTTGTGTCTAAATCGACGATTATTTTCACTCGTTGATACATATGGGTATCACTGGTGTACTGGCGTAACTGGTCGATAATGTAGGGGGTATACACGGGGTGTAATTACTTGTTGTAAATTGGTAAGCACATGGGCGTATACCTTGGTGTAGCGATATCACTTGGTAGTCTAAATCTGACGATATTTCACCGCGCGTTGATTACCATTGGTATACTGGTGTACAATGGGTATTGGCTCGATCATGTAGCGGGGTATCAGGGGGGGGTGTAATACTTGCGTTCGGTAATTGGTGCAAGCAGGGCGTATTACTTGGTGTACGATCACCTTGGTGTCTAAATCTGACCGATATCACCGTTGCATACATTTGGTGTATATTCATGCATAATGCTGTACATCGGCGTATGGTCGATATATAGTCAGCGGGTATACCAGGGTGTATAGCTATCTTGTACATTTTCGGTGGCCAGCGGCGTATACTCTTTTGTGTAGCGATACTTGGTGTCCTAAATCTCGACGATAATTTCTTCACGCGTGATAACATTGGGTATATCTATGGTGTACACGTGGCGTACTGGATCGAGATATGTAGACGGTATACAGGGTGTATACTTTGTTGTATAGTTGGTGCACAGGGCGTACTACTTGTGTAAGCAGTACTTGGTCTAAATTCGAACGATCATTTCAGCTTCGTTGACTACATTGTGCGTCATCACTTGCTGTTCACATGGCGTACTGGTCGATATATAAAGGGCGTATACTCAGGGTGTACTACCTTGTTGCTCACATTGTGGCATCCAGGGCGTAAATACTTGGTGTACCAGATATTCTTCTGTGTCTAAATCTGACAAACTATATCACGCGTGTTCGATACATTGGTATACCTTCTGGTGTACATGGCGTAATGCGCGATATGTAGGGGGTAATACAGGGTGGTATACTTGTTGTAGATTTGGTGCACAGGGCGTATACGTGGTTGTACGATACTTGGTCGTCCTATAATCTCACGATATTTCACGGTCGGCCCGTACCAACCTTGTCCTCTCGTCTTTATCCCCGTCCACTCCCCATTCTTTCCATCGGCGGTCGACAAGGGTGGGGCCGTTGATACATTGGGTATACTTGGTGTACAGGTGGCTTATGGTCGATATGTAGGGGATATACAGGGTGTATATAACTTGTTTGTAAGTTGGTGCAGCAGGCGTAACTTGTGTAGCGATACTTTTTGGTGTCTAGAATCTGAATCGACGATATTTCAGCCGGATACATTAGGGTATACTTGGTGTACATGGCGTATGGCTCGACTATGTAGGGGTTATACCAGGGTGTATACTTGTTGTAATTGTGCACAGGGCGTATACTCTGGTGTACGATAGCTTGGTGTCTAAATCTGACGATATTTCCACGCGTTTGATACATTGCGGGTATACTTGGTGTAGCATGGCGTATGTCGATATGTAGGGGGTATATCAGGGTGTATAGCTGTTGTAATTGGTGGCTACAGCGCGTATACTTGGTGTAGCATACTTGTGTACTAAATCTGACGAATATTCACGTTGATACATCTGTATACTTGGTGTACCATGGCGTATGGTCGATATATAGGGGTATACCACGCCGTGCTCAAATCTGTTCTAATTGGTGGCAACAGGGCGTAGTACTTGGTGCACCGCACTACCCTCTCGCGGTTAAATCCTGCCACCGCCATATTCTAACGCTCTCACTACATTGGTATACTTGGTGTACATGCGTATGGTCGATATGGTTAGGGGTAATACAGGGTGCTAATACTTGTTGTAATTGGTGCAGCAGGGCGTCTACTTGGTGTAAGCGATACTTGGTGTCTAAATCTGACGATATTTCACCGGTTGATACATTACGGTATACATATGGTGTAACATCGCGTATGGTGCGATATGTAGGGGTATACAGGGTGTATACTTGTTGTAATTGGTGCACAGGGCGTATTACTCAGGTGAGCCGAATACTTGTGTCTAAATCTGACGATAATTTCAACCGTTGATAATACGAGTTGTACGCACGCACGCCTGCACGCACGCACGCACGCACGCACGCAGACGTACGTATACGAGTTGCACGCACGCCTGCACGCACGTACGCACGCACGCACGCAGACGTACGTATACGAGTTGCACGCACGCACATGCTCGCGCGTCCGCAAACACGCTCGCTTGCTCTCTCTCTCTCTCACACACGCACATGCGTGCGCGCACGCAGACTCCCACGCATCTGCCTATAGCTTAGCTGGCGGTGTGGCGATGTTCACAGCGTGCATTGTCTCGTTGTTGCTGAGGCTGGGCCGCGTTAACATTCGTCGGCCATGTGTCCGCCACATCGGCTCACTGCGAGCACGCACACCTCACGCGCGCGAACACAGGCAGGGCTTTGTCCGCCGGCCCGCACGCACCCGCCGTGTTTGCCTCGTCGCGGGTAGTCCGTCCGTCATACTCGCATGCAGTTAGCTGGTAGGAATCCCGCCCTCAGTACGGTCCGTACAGAACGATCGCCTAACTCTACCCGTGTGGGGCCGCCCTGTGGCAGAGCGAGGTAGTGCCGGGCTGCACGGGTAGTGCTTGGTGGTGCTGGGCTGCACGGGTAGAGCTAGCTCAGGAACTATAGCCTTTCGCGCTGCCACAAGCCTGTAGCAGAGCGAAGGGCTATAATTCTAGAATCTAGAGTTAGGGTAGACCTAGATACAATAATGTAACCCAAACACAGGATAGTGGATATAGGATATTAACACCCTATCCTGTGTTTGGGTTACATTATTGTATCTAGGGTAGACCCAGTAACGTGTCAGGCGTGTGGTTACCGCCCCAGTCCGGTATAACTCACCCCCCACCCCCACCCCCACATGCGGTACCTATTGCTGATCGAGCGCTCACCGCTGCCGCTGTGACAGACAGACACCGTATGATGGTGAAGCTGTCACACATACGTACCGTGACGTTGACGTAGACGTTGACGTGACTCATTGTTCATTATGCTTCCGCTGCTTCGCCGCGCATCGGCCGCGGTGTTTCCATGGTAACGCGCGTGCATTGTGGATTAGGTTTTCGTTGGGTTGATCGTCGCGGCGGTGTTTCCATGGTAACACGCGTGCTTTGTTGATGAGGGGGCCGTTGTCAGAAACATCGTAAAGTTAATGCTAATATTAATGCTACGATCACACTTACGACTAATGTTAATGTTACGAGAATAGCGTTGATAGAAACGCATCGGAGGTCTTTCACGGGTTATTTCTAGATTCGGGTGCAAATAATGTAACCCATGAAGAGTGCGGTAATGTAAACCCAAAATAATAACAATATTAATA